GAGGTGGAAGGTGAAGTCTTGGGAACGGAGGTGGTGATAGAGGATGGTGATGGACCATTGAGAGGGGATGCCGAGGGGGAGAATTGTGAGGGGGCGCGGATGGCATGCAGACGGTTGAAGGCGCGAAGGAGGCCGGACGGTGAAAGTGAAAGTGAGAGTGAGAGCGAAGACGAGGAGGAAGAGGATGAGAATGCGGAGGATGAATGGGGAGGGTTCGATGAATAGCAGATTTCATGTTGCTGGGGTGTTTGATCAGCCACCCCCCAGCCGAGATACCTACCACACCGTTAATATATACTTCGCGCTAAACTGCGGCTCTCGCTTTGCCGCACTCTCTTCATGTAACTGCATGCGCTCTGCGCCGATCATCATTTGGCACCTGTCAACCACGGAAACCGTACCCGGACAGGGGTCCAGGGGTTGCACGAATGAGACGCGAAACGCGACTCCACCCATCTGGCATCCTTCTTCAGCCTTATCCAGCCCGTCGGGTCCTCCGATCGAGTCGAGTCCGAGTCTAAGTCCCAACCACGTGAATTTCTGGAACAGCTACCTGACACAGCACATAATGCAAGACCACGCCGGATCCTCGCCGCAGGGCCACCCCTACTTCCCCCAGGACGCCATCATCCCGGGGTATGCGCCAAATAGCACGCCTCTCTTGGGCATTCTGGCGGCCTTTGGCGGTATCATTGGCGTGTTTGTGCTCGGCTGTGTTGCTCTTGCGACGTGGTATAGCCCGGCGCTGAAAAGGGCAGACCAGTTGACCGTCGCCTGGTTTGCGCTGTGTGCGTTCCTTTTCTTGGGCTCCTTTTTCTTCTCTATCTTGCTAACCACCCCGCAGGCGGCTTCCTCCACCTCTTCTTCGAGGGCTACTTCGTCCTCAACCACGCCACCATCGCCTCCTCCCAGTCCCTCTTCGCGCAGCTCTGGAAAGAATACGCCCTCTCGGACTCGCGCTACCTCACCTCCGACCCCTTTATGCTTTGCATCGAGTCCCTGACCGTGGTATGTCTCCGCCTTGTCCCCCCACAGCCGTCTCCGTCCCCCATCTTCCCCTCCCTCACCATGCCCTTCTCTCTCTCCACCCCCATTCCCCCCACCAACCAACCAACAAACAAACAACCACCAACTAACCCCCCGCCCCCTCTCAACCAGCTAACCTGGGCGCCCCTCTCCCTGCTCACCGCCCTCCTCACGGCCCGCAACAACCCGCGCGAGCAAGGCGCGCGCCACCTATTACAGACGGTAGTCTGTGTCGGCCACCTGTACGGCGTGGCGCTGTACTACGGCACGTGCGGGTTCGCCGAGCACATGCGCGGCCTCTCGTACAGCCGGCCCGAGGTCATGTACTACTGGGTGTACTATGCGGGCATGAACGCGCCGTGGGCGGTCGTGCCGGGTCGTGAGTGCCTCTCTTTTCTTTTCCCTTTCCTGCGCATGTGGCTTTTGTTTGGTTCGTTTGGTGGGGAGGCGGCTGATGAGTGTGGTAGTGCTGCTTTGGAGGAGCTGGGGGGCGGTTCAAGCTGCTTTTGGGGATGTTGCGAGGAGAGAGGAGGGCAGGAAGCGGTTGTGAAAGGGGTAAGGTGTAGAAAGTAGTCTATGAGACGGGTTTTGTCTAGGGATGTTGAGTCCGAAAAGTTGACGGGTCACTTTCCATTTGGCGACGAGGTTGCCATCAGGGTCGCCACAGCTACCCAGCTTACTTTGCTCACCGCAAGACTTGTAGACCCCGAATCACAGTACTTGGTAGACGAAAGAAACCAAAGAATCTAATTGTTGTCGAGCAAGAAAAGCATCCGTATCCCGTTCAAGGCTCAATGCCTTGCAAATCATGCCGCTATATGATTAGACACCCCAACCCAGCCCAACCCATCCCGTCTCGGATAGCCCCCCCAAATCCTCACCTCACATACTTGCTCATAAACCTCTTGTGAAAGTCCGACCGCAACAAGTCCTAAACCACCATCAGCACTCTCCATAGAACACAGATCAGGCAAGGGACAACTCACATTAATAAACTCGGTCCTCTTCCCCTTCTCCTCCGTCCCCCTCGCCTGATTCTTAAACACCACATCATCATCCCACCTCCTCTTAATACTAAAATCCGCCGCCTTCGCACCCCCCCCGGCCGCCGCCGCATTCAACAACGGATTCCCCAGCGCAATATCCCGCTCGCGCGCCTCCTGCTCCGCCGCCGCGCGCTCGCGCTCCTCAGCCTCGCGCTTCTCGATGCGCTCCCGCCGCACCCGCTCCAGCTCGCGCTTCAGCTCGGCGTCTTCATCGTCGTCGCTCGAATCGTCGTCGTCTGAATCGTCTGCGCTGTCATCGTTGCCGGAGCCGGAGCCGGAGTCGCTGTCGTCGGCATCGATGGCGCGCGTCTCGGCGAGGATGCGCCGCCGTTTGGTGTCGGGGTCTTCGTCGTCGTCTGCGTCGCCTGCGTCGTCTGCGGATTGTTTGGAGGTTAGGGCGGCGAGCGGGCGCTTGTTGGTGGTAGAGGAGTCGGCGGTGTTGTTGTTGTCGGAGGAGGAGGAGGTGCCGGGGATAGGCGCGCCCTTGAGCTTCGCGTAGTGTGCTGCCTCGGCGGCCTCGAGCTCGGCGCGCAGGTCGCGCGTGCTGGCGTCAGCGTCGCCGCCTTGGCCCGGTTGTCTGGAGGGTTAGTGAGCGGGTGGGCGTGGTGCGGATGAAGGTGGGATGGTAAGTAGGTACCTGAACTTGAGCTGGGTGTAGGCTGGGAGGAGGCGCTGGTGGTAGGCTGGGCCGCGCAGGGCTTCCTTGCCACGGGCCTGGGATTGTTGAGTTAGCGAGGGATTCCGAGGTGTGGCTTTCTTGCGGTGCGCCTTCTTACCGGGTCGAAGGTAGGCCTGTGAGCTGTAGTCATCTTGCTGGCTCAATGTGGTGTCGGTTTGGTGTGGTGGAGGATAGCACAATTGATGCTTGGATGTTGTTTAAAGATGGAAAGCCGCAAGGGTGCATGGGGATGCAGGCTGGCGGATTGGTGCCCTCACCGCCCGCGTCATGCGGCAGAATGCACTGAAATTTAGCGGTCTTTAGCGGCAGAAACCTGCCCCTCCAGACAACAAACAACCCTGGGCTTTGATTCTACTTCCATGTAGTTGACTTCTCGAGGCTAACTCCCGTCCCCGATCCCAGATACCACACCTCCCAATTCACAATGCCGCGAGAAGCAGAGCCTTCTCTCAACGAGAAGCAATTCGTCACACAAGCGCTGCAAGAAAACCTGCGACTCGACGGCCGCCAGCTCGACCAATACCGGCCCCTCGAGCTCACCTTTGGCGACCAATATGGCGTCGCCGACGTCACACTAGGCAAGACGAGGTACATGGTTCCCTTCCCCCCAGAAACCCAAATTTCAATTCTCCCAGCTAACACCCTCCCCCCCACCCCATAGAGTCCTCGCCAAAGCCACCGCCGAAGTAACCGTCCCCTACGTCGACCGCCCCCTCGACGGGATCTTCACCATCGCGACTGAGCTCAGCCCGATGACCTCACCCGCCTTCGAAGTCAACCGGCCGACCGAAACCGAAGTGCTCCTCTCGCGCCTCCTCGAAAAAACCGTGCGCCGCTCCGGCGCGCTCGACACGGAATCGCTCTGCCTCGTCGCGGGCCAAAAATGCTGGTCGGTGCGGGTGGACGTGCACGTGGTGTCGCACGACGGGGGGCTGACGGACGCGGCGTGCGTGGCGGTGGTGGCGGCGCTGCGGCACTTCCGCAAGCCGGACACGAGCATGGAGGCCGGGCGGCTGACGGTGTACACGCCCGCGGAGCGCGAGCCCGTGCCGCTGAGCTGGCTGCACTCGCCGCTGTGCGTGACGTGGAGCTTTTTTGGCGACGACGGCGAGACTGCGGTGCTGGATGCCACGTGGCTGGAGGAGCAGGTGCGCGTGGCGAGCTGTACGGTCAGCTTGAATAAGCATGGGGAGATTTGCCAGATTGCGAAGTTGGGGGGGGATGCCGGTGGATGCGGTTGTGCTGTTGCAGTGTACGAGCGTGGCGTTGGTGAAGGTGAAGGAGTTTTCGGATTTGTTGGATAGGAGGTTGGCGGAGGATCTGAAGAAGAGGGAGAAGGGCGGGTTTATGGCGGAGTTGAGGGCTGAGAATGATAGGTGAAGGGGGAGGGGCATGGGGCGGCAGGAGGAGGATGGAGGTCAAGAAGATACCCCCGTCACTGGAACAGTTGGTTTGGCATGAGGTTGTCGGTCCGTTAGGGTGGAAGAGGCCTCGAACTCAAACCCACAAGCGATAACAAAATGAAGCCACTCGCTGATGCATACGGACGCAAGAGGGGATAATGAAAAAGGCGCGGCTAGGCTTTATGCAAAGACATGATGGGCTACATAAAAGGAGGCGGCAAACCGATTTCAGGGGACAGGCCGGCGACGGAGTTTGGCTGTCAAAACCGATGCAATATATTCAAGGTCCGAGACTTACGGGACGATGGGGATCTATTATCGTTCCCGCTTTTGTATGTTTTGCGAGCTGCTGGTATGGGTGGTGTTTGTGGGCTCATCCCCGGAGACCAACCCTGTGCTATGTATGACATCGCCAAAATATTACAATCCACCACATCGGAGTTCCCCGTTATATCTTTCTCCGTCGGCACCCTAACTAAAGGTGGCATGGCACCAGGGCCAGGGTTGACGGTGGCGCCGCAGAAGACGGACCCTTTAGTCATCTGAGAAGACTGATCTTGCCCTCCCCCCTCCGATGCCCATCTTATCTGCCTCGGCTTGAATCTCCCGAGGACTTCGGATGAGAGGATCGGGCCGGCCGAAATGGGGTCCTGTACTGTTCGACTACCACCAGTGCCTAACGTAGACGAGAAACGTGACAACGGGCCCAGCGATTTCCACCCGTCTAGTCCCTTGAATCGGCACCCTGGTGTAAGCGGCGTGGACGCTGCTGATGGGTGTTTATTTGTGAATGCGCGCGTCCCGCCATGACAGCGGGGCGTGAAGATGTTCGCCCCGACCCATCACCTCATCAACGGCGGCCGACTCTCGGTATTCCATTTCACGCGCGACCTGCACCCAATCCACAGCCTCCTTGACGCCCGTCCCGGTCAGGGCCGAGACAGGCAAGACGCGCGAGTCGCGGATGCCGCCGGACTTCTCACCCTCAAAGACGCGCTTGACCAGGCCCTCCTTGATGCGCACGACCTCGACACAATCCTCGCGGTCCTGCTTGTTGGCGAGGATCAGCAGCGGGACGCCCTCGGCCTCGCTGTTCTGCAGCACGTCCTCGAGCACGAGGCGGCACTCCTCGAGGCGGCCGGTGGCGTCGTGCTCGAGGCTGCCGTCGCCGATGTCGGTGCTGTCGATGATGAAGACAGATGGCGTGGCAGCTGGCGTAGTAGCTCTGCCACAGCTTGCGCAGCGACAGCTGCCCGCCCACGTCCCACAGCTTGAGGTACATGTCCGGCAGCACGATGGTCGACACGTTCTGCCCCACCGTCGGTACGGTCTGCAGGTTCGGGGCGGGCCCGTCGGGTACGAAGATGCATTTGACCTGCTCGTGGAAGGTCGTCTTGCCGGCGTTGTCGAGGCCGAGGAGGAGGACCGAATACTCTGGAGAGAAGGGGTGGGGTGTTAGTGGTTGGGAGATGTGGTTGGGTGGACCTTTGGTGCAGTAGTTAGGTCATTTGGCTTACCCTCTTTACTGGTGGCCAGCCGGTAGAGGCCTTTGGCGAGGTGGTACATCTTTTGTCTGTCCAGCCCAGGCAGAAGGTCAGGCAGGACTGTGGTTTGAAGGGTCTGTGGCAGGCCGCAGCCGGACGGAGAGAGCACACTTGGTGGGTGGTGGGGATTGAATGTCGCATCTGAAGCTGGCTCCACCTTCGTTTTAGTTAGCGTTGCTGGGGGTTGCTCCCAGTGCTGGCGGCTCTTGGCAGGGGACGAGGTCAGGTATGTAACGATTGTATGTAAATTACCTTAGGTACATGAATAGACTGCCACTCCAAGTGTACAATGTCGACCAAACCTTCGTCTGGACGGATGAAACACATGCTGTTTGGCCTCCTTGAAGTGGCACGCTGTGCACCGAAGAATAAAGACCAACATCCTCGTAGCCAATCGATCTGACCAATCTCCGAAACTTCGCTCCTTACCTTACATATACACACACAGTACGAACTACAGCAGCGTGGTGTGGTCGAGAGGTTTATCGCACCGTCGTAGAGAATAGAGATTATTTGTTTGGTAAGACCCAACTATCAAATTCCACAGGCCGGCGAATCTTGAACTAAGGTATTGTCATCTATAAGAACCTGAGCAAGTGGTGTTTGCTATGTGCCTTGTTGGGTAGTGGGCAGGTGGCGGGGTACTTTCCCTATCCGATTGATAACGTCATAGGTTGGGGTGCTGTTAACAACAATTCGTACATCTCTCACTGCAAAAGCTAGACGCGCATTTCATCACCGCATGGAGAGTTCCTGAATATTGACTTTCGCTTCATGTGGTTCATGTGATTTCGGTGCTGTTGACCAACTGTCCCAAATACATGACCGAGAAAGATGGCGCCGGTGGAAGTTGAACGCGAACCACGGTGAGCACTCTCTTCACACTTTTGCCGTTGTCTCAACATACCCTAGCTAATACCTCATTATAAAGGACTCTACCAATAGCTCTAGCAGGCTTGCAAGTAGCCGTGGCCGTGTATGCCTCCTACACTGTCGCCCGAAGCCTCTATCAATCTCACAAAGCCCTGGGACCGGCCCAAGACACCTGGAACCGCAAACCCGAGCGCATCAAGCTCACAACCGCCTTTGGAAGCCTGGCAGCCCTCGGGCTGGCATTTGCTGTAGCTTCTGGATTGGAGTACTTGACCTTGTCTTACAAAGTGTGGGCATGTGAGAGAGATGTCCCAGTCCCAGAATCGTATGTTTCATGAGCTTCGTCAGCCTACCTAGTAAGAGTAACCCGACTGACAACAGAGCAGCCTGTTTAGAAGCCTGTTTGGGCACCGCACTCTGACCGCGGACGGGACTGGCGAGCCTCCCCTGTATCTCAGGTATTGGCTGAGTGACACCTCCGTCATCCTCAATGCCTTGCAAATCATCACCGAGAAAGCACGGCGGTTGTGGTGGGGGCAGCAACTTGATCTCGCAACAATAGCATGGACTGCGCTCTTGGCTGTCGAGGGTCGCCGCCGGAACATCCCGCATCTATGGGCATATGCTTTGCTACCTCATCTTGTCAGCCTTTCGTTTGCGCTGAACTTATTCTGTGTGGCTTTGCTCCAGAACCCGTCACCAATTCCGCCACAAGAGACGAGGTATGTCGAGTATGTATCCGAGCAAGTGCATCGCTAACTTGGCCAGAATCGCCCAAATTATTCATCGAATGCTCCCAAATAAGCCACAGAACTGGTCTCCCCGTCTTTCTCTTCTTCTCCTGCCGTTGGTCGCCAACTACGCCCTGGCGTTCTGGCTCCCGAACACCACATGGACGTCATCATTCCCTACCCTCGTTGCTCTCTCCAAAATCCTGACTCTCGCACCCCTGATCCTACCTGCCATCGCCCCCACATCCTGGGGCATCGTTCACTCCGACCCGCACGACGCCCACCCCGACATAACGAAGCTCTTCAACACCATCTCCGCCGGGACCATCATCCTTTACACTACGACGACAATCCGCGCCCTTGTCGATAATCTTCCAGATTCATCCAAGCCCTGTCACACTCTCCTCAATGTCCCCCTCGACACCGAGAAGCGCTCGCATTGGGAGCGCACTGCAACAGCCGTCGAGAGAATCCTCGGCTCCATTACCGACCACCCGGCCGTTACCGCCGCGGGCAAGGACGTCCTCCTCTGTGCCCTCAGTCTGGGCTTGTGGGCAGCCGTGAGATCGACCGACGTCAACAACATGCTCCGCTCGCTCTCCCCTATCCGCGAGTTCCCCCGGTGCTTCCTATCGGAGGTGTCGCCGAGCAAACCAACAAAGCCCGAACCCACGCCCGGCCCCGAAGATGCCGCCCACCCAACCCCGGCCCCAAGCTTCGGCATGACCCTACGCCGCCCCCGCCGCTCAGCCAGGGGTAGCATCTCCAGCACCGGCAGCTCCAACTCCCCGGGGGAGGACACCACCACCACTACCGCGGCCGTCCATGAACCGCCGAAACGCCGCGGCCGTCCAAGAACGGCCAAACCGGAACCAGAACCAGAACTAAAACTAAAACCAAAGCAGCAGCAACACCACCGCCAACCCAAACAGGAGGACGCACTAGCCCACGACGATAAGACGTATGTGCCCACCCCCGCCGTGCAGGCCGAGGCTGGCCGGGGCCTGGGCGATGTCGTGACCGAGGACGATTTTGACTGGGAGTCGGCCGCCCTGGCCTGGGGTGTGACGGTGCTGGGTGGGCTGGGGTTGGGGGGCGCGGCGGTTTGGGGGGCTGAGTGTCTTGCGAGGTGAGGTGAGGTTTGAGGGAGGGGGGGTATGGGGGTAGGGGATATGGGGGTGGGGCGCCGGTATAAGTGTGTGGTGTTGGGGGAGGGGGTGGAGTGGTTGAAGAGGGAGTGAAGGAGGTCAATAGTAGTTTCGGTTGGTATTCTCGCTTTGGGTTTGATTTCATTATATTTTGGGTATTTGATGGGTCAAGGGGAGGGCTGGGTTTATGTTTGGGGTTAAGTGCTGCCCGGTCAACGAAGAGCGTATTAAAGATATGACGAGGGTCTTAACAGCGAACGTAGGTGTATAATCTATTAACAGAGTGTTTCCGTATCATTTCAAGCAGGTGCTCCTACTAGGACGATATCCGCCAAGAATCTTCAGCAAGTTCTCGACAGATGACTATGAGTCCCTCAATCTCCCTAAGACGCGCGTATATGGTTAGAGAATATGCCGCCCTGTGACCGCATGGGCCGCGTGCCACAGCACCTGATCGCTTCAAAGATGATATTTTTGCTTGTTTATTGCGCATGGCGGCTGTCAGAGCACAACCTCCGTGGTGTTCTAACGCCTGGGAGAAGGTCTTGCATACGAACACCAATGGAATACATGGTTGGAGTCAACAAATCACCATCCTACCATCTCGGAGGTCTTATGGCAACCCGCCGCCCCTAATCACCCATCCTCGCCAGATTCACCAACGCCGGCATTCCACCTTGTGGTCCCCCTCGTCGGACGGACCAACAACATCGCCAAACCCAAGTCGACTCCACTGAGGGTCGCTCCGTCGGTACCAGCCTGCCTGTACTAAAAGCAACATTCGAGCGACGATCTCTGCCTTCATCCGAGCCTGCGATGGGGGCTCCAGGTCAACAATCAGGCGCGACAAATAAGAAGCCCACGCGGCTGAGCAGCGACGGTAACGAGTTGTTGCCGGCGGGGGGTGCCGGCGCGAGATCCTGACGTCGCCGCGGGCCCAAAGAAACCAAGGAATCCCTCCCCCTCGCTCACCCGTTTCATCTTGTCTCTGGTCGGAGGACGGCCCGAACAGGACAACGCTAGAGCTAACCACATCGACGACCATTTTAAGGCGTGCCGTTCGTCGAGAATATTCATACCCCGCTAGGAGAAAGTCACATAAACGATCTCGCCATGCGGGGAGGAAAAGAGGAAAAGTTCAATGAACGCCTACTCCGTTTCAAGGAACGGATGGCCATCACCTTGAACCGGACATTGGAGTGTGGGGAGACGGCAGAACCCCGGAGCAGATCTGGGTTAGTAGTTTGGAGAGTTTGCCGGGCAGGAGTGAGCAAGCGAGTGGCACATTTTACGGCGTTATCGAGGACTGGATCAACCGCAATCATCGCGAGCAGTTGCGCCCCTGGTCAAAGGAGAGGTCAAGGGAGGAGGAGGGCAGCCGCAACGAATGGCAAGAGGCTATGCCGGCTAAGAAGGAATGGTAGTCAAGTAAAGGGAGGTCGATGGGTTTGGGTTTGGGTTTGGGTTTGGGTTCTGGACGCATAATCGGGTTTGCTTGGCTTTGGTCAGAAAGGCATCTTCAAAACCTCAACCTGTGGCACTGGGTTGTTTCGCATCTTGGATTGGTGGACAGCGGAGGAGACAGGCCGATTTGTACCATTAACATATAGTAATAAGAATTGAATCGAGGTTGTATTCTTTGATCATCGTCCTTGGCCTGCTTGGCCCACGAGCGGTTGACAGGAAGAAAGTCTTGGTGCAGTGGGGCTTGCGTTTCCGTGCAGTATAACTCGGTGCCCACGCTCCCTCTGTTCTCGCATACCCTCCTTCCCGTTCAGCACTCGGGCTCTTCCCACAACGCCAAGATGACTCTCCGATATCTTTCCCGACAGCACTTCTTCAAGCTGCCTCACACATTCCACTTCTCCCAAACCCCGATATTTCAGGGTATAAACAACCAAGAAATCCGGTACCTGTCCTCGTCACAAACAAGATACAAGATGGCTACCGATTACTCACAACTCCCTACGCCCACCATGTGCTACGTCGACTTTTGTCTCGTTCCTGTTAGTTGCACTCTCGAGCCCTATAACTAGGTACCGGTCCTAAGTTATGTTACGGAACCACGCTGACATCAAACCCGTCTAGATTGGGACCGGTAATGTCTCCGTCGCAAAGGAAGTGGCCGAGGTCCAAAAGGTGCTCAAGGCCAGTGGGCTGGCTTACACCCTGCACTCTGCCGGGACAACAGTTGGTATGTCAAGGCCTGCTTCAACCACGTACCCCTTGGCACGCTGTTAGTCCTCAGCCTCTAACCGCGCTATTGCAACAGAAGGCAGATGGGACGAGGTCATGAAGGTTATTGGGCAGGCCCACCAGGCGGTGCATCAAGCAGGTGCCGTCAGGATCCAGAGCTCGATGCGTGTTGGTTCTCGGTGAGTAACCCCCCAGCCATCTCACTTCAATCTCAGAATCCTCAGAAACTAACACGACCCTCCCCGAAGAACGGACAAGGCCCAGACTGCCGAGCAAAAGGTGAAGCGGGTAGAGGACCTCCTGGCCAAGGACACATAGTCATCATGGTACATACCTGAGTTCCAATAACCAATTGACTGCTTGCTTCTATTGTTTTGTGCTTTTCGGGCGTGCCATACCCGTAATTATTTGAAGCCTCCTTTTATTGATTGTCGAGAACCTCTTGTCCCGTCTCAACTCATCTCGAATCTCGAAGAAATACTTGGTGAAACAATCCAGACTGAATTAGGTAATCCACCCCGCACCCTTGCCCGAGTCGTGTCGTAATCCCCGAACCCGTGGCAAATGTGGGTCCAATTCCCCATACGGGAAGCACGGTCTCGAATATCAATTGATCGCTTTTCTCCATCTTTTTAGCTCCCCCTGTTTGCACCGTCAAAAGCCACGAAGCAGGTGACAATCACCATGGCGAGCGTGATCAACAACCTTTTTGGGGCCAAGCCCTCCGCCAACCCGGAGTCGACTCAGGCTGCCGGTGATGCTGGTAAGAATATCCAATCCATCCGACTTTAATTGATGACTTGCTGATCTGGTTGATCGCGCTAGACTTCGCCGACTTCGACCAGGCCGCTGACCCGTCTCCGGCTCCCATCGTGCCCGAGACCTCGATGGCGAACACGTTTTGGTGCCGCGCAGACCATACAGCCCTACACCAAGTGGTACAATATCCACGAGCGCCACAGCTTGTCCGAGTTCAAAACGGAGGGTCTCATCCTGTCCGCCATCACCGTGGTGCTGCCTCCTCCATCTCTTCGGCGCCCGTTTAAACCGCAACAAGGCCAAGAAGTGGATGCGCGCCCATGCCGCGCCCCTGACGTCCGAGTTTGCGTCTGTCGGCTTTACCGGCGTGCCCCCGTCCGTGGCGGACAAGAAGGGGGACGAGCTGCTCCAAGCCCTTATTGACACGAACACGCGCCAAGGCGACAGCTTGATCAGGGAGAACAGCCTTTTCGAGTTCGCCACCTACGCGACCGGCCGCGCCAACGTTGCCTTCCTCGATGTCAAGCTCACCCTCGTGAAGCGCTTCAACCCGCTCACCGTTCTCTTCGAGACCGCCTTTGCTTTCTTCACCGACGTCGCCACCGAGACTCAGGATATCCTCGAGGCCACGCTGTATCCCTTCGATGGCAAGGAGGCGCTCACCGTCCCCGGCATGCCCGGTGCCGCCGAGTTGCGCAGCAAGGATAGCAAGAGCGCCTTCGACGGCTTCGTGTGGGCCCTCGTCCACAAGGAGCGCATGAAGCAGGTCCGCGACGACCGCTTTGACGTGTCCCTCACCGTGACCAAGGACCACGCCAAGCTCCCCAACTGGCTGACTGTCATGACCGAAAGCGCCGAGATCACCGACGCTCTGCTAACTCCGGAGCTGATCAAGGCCGCCGGGCTTGCGGGAGACCTGTTGGAGTACCTCATCATCACGGACCAGCCGGTTGAGAAGCCCAAGACGTAAGCCCTCCACCAAACCCCGTTTTCCGTCGTCCATCATTAACACAACGCACAGCCTCAACGACACGACCCCCCGCAAGCGCGTCCACCTCCGGTACCGCCTGCCGTCGGACAACGACTACAGCAAGCTGGTGCCGTTGTTCAAGTACTTTTTGCGCGTCACGGACCGGCTGGTGCAGGCCCCGCGGTTTCGGCCCGAGGTGCTGCGCAAGGTCAAGGCGGCGCGCGACGCGACGGCGCGGCAGATCCAGAAGGCCGACGAGGAGGAGCGTGCCGAGGAGCGCGCCGCCGAGCGAGAGCGCCTCAAGAAGGCCAAGCGCGACCAGGAGCTCAACGCCCTCGACGCCAAGGCCCAGAAGAAGTACCTCGAGCGCGAGCGCGAGAAGGAGATGAAGAAGAGTATGAAGAAGCAGACTACCAGGGCGTAGGTGGGGCTTGGTGGGCGTGTCTCTCGGTGGGCGTTTGGCGGAGGAGGCTGGATGACGTGGATGGCGTGGTATGGGCGATGTGGATCTTTTGGATGGCTCACTGCTGTGTATGGTAGTGATTGTAAATATCTTTTGTACAATGTAGACGAAGTAATGTTTACTCTGAACCTTTGGTGTCGGGTATTCGGGATCTTCTGATTCTTACGCCTCGAGCTCGCGTTACCTAGCAGCTTGATTCTTGCCAGTCCAAGGTCAAATTATCGGTCATTGCTCACTTTCCTTGCAGGTTACATTGCTTGGTAAGATAACTGCCTGATAGAAACGTTCATCACAACAGCAACTCAGGTAACTCGGTGGTTGTTCTCGTCCTCGGCCGTTGGTGAGCCTTGGTTGACCCATGTTTTGGTTGCCCCGCCAACCATCTTTCAAAAGCGAGTACGGCGGGTCAAATCGACAGCATTGCAAAACCCAAATAATTAGTGATAAAAAGCCTAACCCACCCCGATTCTTAAATTTATATATAATTATAGAGGCTCGGAAGATTATCAACCGTGTCGCATACACAAACCGATATTCCGATCGATCATTTTTTTCTTAATGTATTTGCACCTTTTTCTCTCACACACAGTTTGCAACCTGCAAATTGACTTGCGGCCACTGACTAGCAGGTTGCGAACTGAGTTGCACGTCGCTGATTGACTTGCAGCTCGCGAATGGACTTGCCGGAGAATGGAGGGGCGTTTCTATATACGATGGTGGTGTGAGCCAATGACGATTCTGGTTTGGGCAGTCATGTCCATTTGACGCACCATATGTGAGCATCCTCAAACAAACAACCCCCTCAAGAAGGACTCTACTTATTCGAAGGACAGACATTGCCAAAATACCCCTGAATACGATCTGGGAGGACAACCAAATGAGATTTCTAGCACCATGGCGAAAACGACAGCAGTACGAAAGTATGGGAGGACCACACGGAAACCGACGGCCGACATTCTCTTTGCCCAGCTGCCCAGATCTCCCCTCAAGTCAGAAACTAAGGGGATTCCTGAGCCTGTGCAGGAGTCGTATGACAGTGCACGGGAATCAGGCAGGCATGAGAGGGCCGACGCAGTCGAGCCTAGGCCCGACACACTCGAGTCAAGGCCGCCTCAAAATACCGCCAGTGCTAGACACTGAAGGCACACCGTCCGACAGGAGATCAATCAACTCGCACAACAATTAGAATCAAACCACGTTAGAACCAGACGCCATGACTGAACATCCTCTTAACCCAACCAAAGGATTCCGCACCCAATTGGGGAGCCCGGCAGAGCCAGAAGTTGTCCCCGAGCGCGCTCTATGCACCATTGGATGGACCGGCGTCTACGCCACGGTGGCGACGACGGGATTGAAAAGATTGCTGAGGCTTCCTTCGCCGGGTCTACCGAATCACAAAACTCTAACGGAACATCTATACTCAAAGTCATACGTCTAGAGTCGCCTATCAAGCCGCAAACCAAAGCCCAGGTACGGTCTGGCCTGGTGGACGAGGAGCCGCATTCGGAAGAGGACATCCAAGGCGAGCTCCGGATATCAGAGTGGCTCGCCGACATACCCGGCTTTGTGGTGTACAAGGAGCGGTACGTGGTGCAGGGAAAGGCACCCAAGGCGCTGCTCGAGACGCACCAGGCCTTCCACCGCCGGACGAAGCGAAAGGACCCGGATCGCCTGCAGTTTTACCCGTCGCCGAGTCGATACTTGGACGAAACCCGGTTCCTGGTCGTGGAGCTTGGCGATGCCGGGATGGCTCTGGAGGACTTTGAGTTGACCTCCATCAGCCAGGTGTGGGACATATTCCTGCACACGGCCCTAGCCCTAGCCCGAGCGGAGCGTCTGATTGAGTTTGAGGTTAGCTCCCCCACCCTTCAGACTCCCCTCACCTGGAACGCATTGATCCTAAAACTGCCCCAGCACCGCGACCTACACGAGGGCAACCTCTGCGTCCGACAAGTCCGGCCGCCCACCACAAAACCCGCCGACAGCACCAACCCCCGCCAGTTCGGCTACTCGGGCCTCGACGTCACCCTCCTCGACTACGGCCTCTCGCGAGCCAGCGACCCGGACTCCCCTCTCCCCGGCCCGGCAACCCCAACAAAACAACCGCCGGCCGCCACCCCCACCGTCTTCGCCGACCTCGAAGAGGACCTCACTCTCTTCGAGTCCACCCACGCCCCGCAGTGCGCCGTCTACCGCCAGATGCGCGCCTACCTCATCTCGGGCGACCGCCTCCCGGGCACGCGCAGCCCACCCCCGACCCCCGACCCAACCGCCGCCGCCGCCGCCACCGACAACCCCACGCACACACCCTACCCCCACTCCGCCCTCACCAACGCTCCCCTG